CAGGGGTGGGGCGCGAGGCAGGGTGCGGGCGCGGCGCTTGTACTCACGCACTCTGCCGGCGGCGACGCACACTACATCTTCCGCCAGAGCAACTAGACACAGACAACACAGCACGCGTCCAACTAAGGAACACGCTGCACCACACAGCAAGTCGAGAAGAAATATTAAATGAGGAAGCAAAAATTCAAATTTGAGCCACATGACATGAAACTCAGAAAGTGGAAAGAAAAAAGAATTAAAAGTGAGCTGAAAAGTAATGCCTACCTATTCGTATCGAGTGCGGAAATATACAGTGCACAGAATTATTGATCTGTTGTAAAAATGTAATTACATGGCCCAATCATCAAACTTCCTTGCCTTTTTTAGTATTCTTATTTTCCCAAACTTTGTTGCAATAAGATAGTTATACGTGTTTTGAAACCTTACATATGTTTTTTGTGGAGCAACATTTATTGTAAATAATATTTAAATGGGCAGAAAGTTTGATATATTTGCATTTAATAGAATAAAATATGCACGTTATATCATTGTATGTTACAATACGTTAATTCAAAAATTTTGACGATTATTGTGTACCTTCAAAATTCTTGTTGCAATTGATAAGTTCGATGAATATTAGTATTTTCAAAAATATTATTATATTTATTTTCATTTTATATTATTTTCAGTATTTAAGTGTGTTAATAAATTTAGTGTCCTAAATATCAATAAAAAGGGGAAACTGAAGATAGTATGACGTTAGGAGCAACACAAATTATTAGTTTTAATTTGAAATGTAACCAATACATCCACGCAGGTAAGATCGTAAAAAATTGTTCGCAAAGAAAATTAAGGAAAGGGTTTAAGAAATGATTCTGACCCAAAATATTATTAGCTAGTTTTCAACTCCATAACCTCACTCACTTTCAGTAGAAACACGCATTTTTAACATCATTCGTGGTTAAAGACCCCAAAATACAGTTACGATAAAATAGTGGAAAATAATAAAATACATCCTCACTTTAAGAAACTTATACTTGGGCAATTCCAAAACTTATATTTGGGAATTTATCAATTCAAAAATATTCAAAATTTTGAAAAAAATTTTTAAAACCAAATGTTCTACGTATAATAATTTTTCGTGTTTGCAAAAGAGCTAGAAATTATAATTATACATTTATTTTTGTAAATTCAAAATTGGATTGAAACATTTTGAAAAAAATATTTTAGTGAATTCCGATGTTAAGTAGTAATTGTGTTTTAGTAATGCATAATAACATTGACAAATTGAAATGTATAAAATTATTCTTCGTTGCATATAGCGGCTAGTAGTCGGGTTTCGGATGCTGAAAAAGTTGCCGAAAAATATTAATTTTTGGTCAGAATCATTGCCCATCAAAAACTTTTCCTCGTTTCGCTTGACGTTGGTTTGAGACATTGTAGCTAGAAATAAAATCCTCTAAAAACAATTTGGGTAGCTGCTTACTCCCCTTATTTGCAGCAGTCTAGGACGAATATCTCTTCCATTGTTATTTTGGTAAGAACAATTTTTTGTGAGATAGGTATGTTAGAAAATCCATCCAACCGAATTTGCGGTTGCTTTGAGCATGAAATATATTTTCCTACTAGGCGCTCTTATTTTATTAGTCAACGATGAATGTTCATTTTGAGGTAATTAATATTTTTTTTGTAATAAACGCAACGATTTGTCTTGAAGACACATACCTTAGATTCCATAGAAAAAGCGTGAAGATAATTAAAAATACGTTCTTCAAATAATTGATTTATAAAATTACAGGCAAAATACTCGTGCATTGTCACCAATATCAATCGCATGTATCTTAAATGCGGCCCCCATTAGGCGGTAATATAAAAGGTAGCAGCAATTCTGTCTACCCCAAGGTGATAAACTAGAGGTAGAGCGCTCGAGGGCTGGAAGGCGGGCCGAATGCAATAGATCGCGGAGGCCGCGGGGCGAAGCCGCGCCGTAGCCATTACTTTCCAGCACGGGGCCGTG